GTTTTATGATGGGGCTAGCAATATCAATCGATATTTTATCATCGAACTACAAACTCGTAAGCACAGGATCTTATAAAAAATATATAATTTTACGAGTACTCATTTCAAATGACCCGTTTTATCCATAGTATAGATAAGTCATATTCTGCCAATTTTACATATTTACCTTTAAAGCTTGATCCTTTTTTGGCCACAAAAGGATAAATTGTTTAAATTTTAAGAAGTATAAATGGATCATATTGAATCAGTAACAGCTAATAACATGGTTTAGTCCTTTATTCCATAAGCCTTTAACTTATGCCAATATTAATTTAATGTATATTAAAACATTTAAAATTGTAACTAATCAAATTTTCCACCGTGTCAAACAAAAAAAGGATCTAACGGACTCCGTTTGGCAAAGACAAACACAACAATGGACAGATACCAATCGACAAGCCATAAATACGTGCATCCGCTGAGTGAATGGCTCGTCGCATTTGCCAAATATTTGAGCCTAGACAATTGCATTTCCTGCCCAAATGCCTGCTGTCCCGCATCCCGTTCGCCAAACAACGCATGGGATTAGGTTCTCCTGCAGGAGCCGCAGGATTCATCTGTTGCTCGAGGTCGAGGGTGAGGGCAGAGGGCAGAGGGCAGAAATTAAGGCTTCTCCTGAGCGGAAACGGGAATCGAGAAGAGAAGGCGCGTTCGCTGTACACAAAACAGGAGCAGGGGAAACACGAAGACGAACGTAGGGAATTGTAAAAACAAATGTTGGCAAACAACAATAACAAGGAAAAGGATGTCCTGCTGAGCGAGGAAAAGTGCGTAGAATGCTATGCGTTGCAATTAACATTTCTACACTCACGAAAATAAAATCAAATTCAGATTTGATGGTTAACAATTTCGTAGCACAATTGAAAATAAAACTGGTATTCTTCTTTTGTTTACGAACCAAAGCTGTGTCTTCAATAACTATCAATTCTTTTACGTTTACATTAAAAAATGTAAAGCAAGTGAAATTATATACCTCTTGTTAGCAATCCCAAAAGTCATATCAAACGTATAGAACTTTATTTATTTTCTATTAGCATTACTTTTACAAAATCAACGAATTTTCTTTCAATATCAATAATTTTTATAGAGTTTTTTCTTTCAAAAGTAATTAACATTAAGCATTTCCTATCTTAACAACCAAATTTCAATTCATTAGGCAGAAATCTGTTACCTACCAACCATTTTTCAAGATAAGCAAGGAAGTGTATTTGGCTGTATCCTGCTGTGTCGTGGCCATAAGTACGAAATACTTTCACAAGTTCCTGCTTGTTTGTTGTTCTCAGTGTACCCATGCCGACATCCTCTCCGCAGGACATGTGGCAAGGCAAACGCAGCGGGGAAACCAAATTAGTTTCTCGTTTCAAGGCAGTGTGAAATGCAGCGCAGGAAGCTGGTGCAGCAGGCTCAATTTGATTGCGGGTCCATTGTCCGCTCACGTCCCGCTCAGGTACACAACTTCCAAAATATTGCCGGTGATTAGTGACTTTTGGTCGGTGGCGATGAGAAAACGCCTGCGGCGTTAATTGTTTGTCCCTGCTCATTGCTGTCCACGTCTTTTGATTTGCACCGCTCTAAGCGGTTAATCTGGGCCACAGGAAGCGGAAGCGATAGTGCCCCCGACGGACGGAAGACGGAAGCCAGAAGATCCGGAAATTAGTTGGAAATTTGCTGGTTTGTTGCAAACGAGAGAAACAGATAAATACACGGATTATTATAGAAGCAATTGTATGCGAAGTCAGATAAGTATTTTGTGCCCAAAGCGAACTAAAAGGTACTGAAAATCAAAACCCTTTAGAAGATTAAGTAAAGTTTGATATCAATAAAATGGGTAATTTTTATTAACATAAAACTATATGATTTAATGTAAAATCTCAAACCAAGACTGAAACTGCGCTCAATATGTTTTAAAAATGGTTCAATTTGATGACCTCTCAAAAGACATACTTTTTTATGACCTATGAAATCTAAAATTTTTTTTTATTTTTTGTAAAGCTTTTTCACCCGTTCTTAGGTCATTGCTTCAAGAAATGTAGTTAAATTTTCAGACTTATTATTAATTTTATATTTCAGATCGATCCTGACACAGCAAAATGTACACAGTTTTGGTCTTCCAAGCGCAGTCAACCTTAGACAAAACCTTATCATAAACGCTATTTTGTTTTTGAAAAATTCTGTAAACAAGGTCGAAAATAAAAACTTTTTGGATGCTTAAACGGTTTGTTATTATGTTCTTTTATGACCCACTACAAACTCCAAAAGTTTCCTACCTTTAGTTATTTAAATGAGTACCTAACTTCAAAATTATTGATTTTAAATTAAAAGCCATGATCATATTGGGATTGAGTATTAACTGGTTTATTGTACAAGGAATCTGGGGAATATATAAGAGGAAGACTTGAGAATTTTGGGAACTAAAACCATAAGCCACTTTGCGCCTGGTCGAACTCATGCACTATACCGATCGAAGGACAAACCCCAAGGGTCTTCGATGCTCTACAATGCATAATTTCGGAGTCGCGGCTGGAGCTGGAGCTCAGAGCCACTTTTTAGCGGGTGTTCGACACTCTGGACTGGCACTCTTCTCGCGGCAGGGAAACTGGGGCAAATCCTTGGCATTGGCCATGTTCACATAGGGTTTCTGGTGTAGCGTCACTCCGGCGGCGGTCCGCACGAGTCTTCGCCTGAAATTGGTGCCCGCCAGGAGGTAGTTCACCGGAAACTGCAGCATTCCGGGTCGGTAGTGGGCAATGGGACTGAGGCCCAGAAAGGTGTTCTTGCCGCCGCCCTCGTTTCGATCCCGGCTGGCCCCACAACCCGCACATCCAGTGGCTGCCCCTGCGTTCTTGCCATCCGGGCACTCAGTTGATCCCATCTCCTGCCACCGGCGACCTTCGACCTGGTTGCACTGCCGGCAGCGGGAGTGCCGCTGTCTCGTAGACCCCTTGCTGCGACCACGCCCATCGCCGCCTCCCGCCTTCGAGCTGGAGCAGGGGCCGCGGCAGTGGGACTTGCAGCCCTTTCCACAATCATGCGGCGATCGGGAACAGGCTCCCTTGCAGTCTTTCTTGCAGAGATGCTCCTGGCAGTTGGGCAGAAAGAACGGGATCTTGGTCTTGGTCTTCTTATCGTGATGCACATTACCCACAGAGTGGGATCCTATCGAATCCTCATCCACGCTGGCTTCTTGGTGGAGCGAAGTGCTTGGATGGAGTGCAGGCTTCGGGGTCCTCAAGCCGTTACTGTGACTGGAACTCGACTTGATGTTTGGCGAGGGTACCGTACTAAGCTTCGCTTTGCTCCCGTTTTTAGACACCTGAAGGCTCTCCTCTTGCGGGGTTGAAGGTTTCCTAAAGGGATTGTTTAGGGCCAATTCTGCCTTTCTCTTAGCCTTCTTCTTGATTTTTTTAACCTTCGTTTCTGGATCTTGCTTTTCTTTTTTGGCGTAATGATTGCTGACGAATATCTCAAGCGCCTGGGCTATCAGCATGGCCAGCTTATCACTGCTCTCGAATCTTTTTTGGCAATGCTCGCAGGGGCAACCATTGGCTTGGTCATTCATCGGACTATTGTCCCAAGGACCTTGCTTCTGGTACATCTCATTTCCAAAGGGACAGTCGTAACTGTTGCAAGAACTGGGATGCTGGTATCTGTCATCTTCATATGCTGAAATATAGAAATGCATAGCAAGTGTCGCTTCTTAAAATAGTTGTTTCAATTATTTTTGGTAATTTTGGTAAATATAAATATTTTTTATTTTATTATAATCAAAGAATTTATAATCAATTAAGTTTATGTTAAAAACAAAAAAAAAAAACACTTTAAAATTGTAAATGTTTCTGTTTAATGGCAATAGTAATAATAACGTTCATATTGAATGTGAATAGAGTTTTTTTTAATATATCAAAAATATTATCTTAGTATGTATCAAGAATTGATTGAGGCCCAACTTACCATCTCTGTTGAAGTAGGGATCCGTTGGCCAAGGCCCCATGTCGTATCCGTAGTCGTACCCCGCTTCCCTTTCCGGTTCGTACCACTTGCGGTTGGGGTCCACATACTCGTAGTCTATGTAGTCGGTTAGTGGATTATGGTTGTGAGGGTGGTTAGGATAGTTATGCGGGTAGTTGTATTCCGGCTGTGTTCCCGTTGGCATATGCACTTGACCTCCGCCGCGATTTATTGCCGTTGTTAGTTGATCAATTAGCGCATGATTGTTGCAGTCTTGAAGGACAATGATGTTGAAGGGCTGATCACCAAGCGGCTGTCCACCATGCTGCTGGGAGCCATATGGACTGGTATTTAACTGGTGCCATTGACCAGGTGACTGAGGCTGTTGCGACTGTGGTTGATCCGGTGGATTCGCTTGATACGGACATGGCTGACCCGTCCCCTGTTGACATTGTCCCTTGCACTGAACGTAATAATTGTCCACGGCTGTCAGGACCTTTTCATTGCACTGCGGACAAATGCTCTGACCTGGTTGATGGAGTTCCTGATGTTGGCAAACCGGGCAGGTGCCACCCATTCGACGATGGGGATAAGGATCAGGTGCAAACTTTGATGATTCTGACCTCAGTCCCACGGATTCCGGTAGGCTCTTCTGGGATGCAACATGCGATTTCCCCTGAACCGCACTTTCGCACTGACCTGTGCACTGAGTACTCCTTTTCGCACATTTGCAATTCCTACTGCACGGCTGCACCGTGTAATCCTGACATCGATCGCAGTTCCTTAGGACGTACATACTCTCCGGTGCGTTCTGACTGCCGGTACACGATCTTTGTGGCACTGGACGTGGCCGCTTACACACATCGCTGCGACTGTCCTGCGAAAATTCGGTTTGGCTCTCGCAACCCGCACAATTTCTTCCCTGCTCCGAGCTCCGGCAGTGGCTCATAGTTTGTTTGTTGACGAAATGATTCATTTTAAAAGGGTTTGTATTCGGACAAGAGACTCGTTGCCTATTTTTTGGCCTCCACCGGCTTTGCGGACTTGTTCGGCTTTTTGCTACGCCCGAAAATCTGTCTCCAGCTCCAGGTTCCCATATTTTCGTTTCCCGTCACAAAGGGATCTCCAAACACCCAGGCCTGCAACTGGCTCAATCTGGTGTACTTCACGGGTAAGACAATGCCCGGACTTCTTGGTGGTTTAGGCAGCTCCGTGGTCTTCTCGCCTCTTTGGTGAATGGGACTCAGAAGAGTCGGAGGCGAGTCCCGTGGGCAACGCACCTTGAGGAAACTTCCTCTGTAGAAGGGATTGACCTCGGTGCCCAAGTAGGAAGCTGCCCTACGATTTGGCTCCATTATTTCTGGCTCCAATGAGGCAGGAGCTAAATAAGCTGGTGGTAGATCTGATGGATCAGGCTTATTGGAAGATGCTGGTCCAGATCGAGATATGTTGGAAGGTGCTGCTGGTTCTGGTTTAGATCTATAGGAAGATGCTTCTGGTTCAGGCTGAGATCTATACGTATGTGCTGGTTGTGAATGTTCCTTGGGATCGAAGGAGCCTCTATGATGATGGATCTCTGCAATTGGCGATAAGGCCCTAGTTCTATGTTGAGGAGCGTTTGCAGGAGTTGATTCCCTTTCACTCTGCCTTCTTTCCGACTTTTGCACTAAATTTCCAGCAGCTGGTCTTTCTCGGGGCTGACCAGATGGACTTGACCGCTCCTGGCTCACATAGGAATGAGCTGCTCTGCTCGGGCTTCTTGTGTGTCCTGTGGGCTGTAAGTGACTCGTCTCATTCTGAACTGACGCAAATGGTTGTCTGAGACCTTAAAGACATAACTTGGCATAAGAGAGTTAAGATTATTGCCATGAATTAACTAACCCTGTCGGTGGGTCGACATCCTTGAAGGCGCTACCTGATTACCTCCAGGCAACACCGCCTTGGCCCTTCTTTTCAGACCCGTAGCAATAGTGCCCGTCATGTAGTGGGAGTTCCTGCCGCCCTGACAACGCTTCTTGCAGCAAATGGTCAACTCGTATCTAGTCTTAGGTACTTTCCTAGGCCGACATCGCCCCAGGGTCTTGTAGATAATGCGGTTACTCTATTTGGTTTTAAGAAAATGGAAAAAACAAAAATAAAGCCCATAAAAGAGTGTCACGACTACGAAATACACGTTACACTATTAACCAATTTCAAAATAAAATCCGTCCTACAGATGGAGCCACTGGCAATTCTATTGGCGCGGCAAACAAATTCATATGTGGCGCCATCTGTCGAAAAGGTATATTTATCTGCTAGTGCTGTATAACTTCTGAAATAACTGTAAGATTTGACACATTTTTTGTGCGTTCACAAGACATAAATCGAATATATAAAAATAAATATAAATATATTATCTTTTATATTTTTTGTACGAGATCTTAACAGAATTTAAAAGTTTGCAAGCGTAAGAGCTTGAAATAAGCTAGCGCTACATATGCATAGTGCGATTTTTCTGTTCCCGAGACCTGTTAAAAGGCGTACAATAATATTTTATAAGTAACGGGTATAAAAAGGAATTTTAAAATTGGTTAGGAAAGCCTTTGAGTAAACATAAAACATAGAATTGGAAATAAGTTGACTGCTTCCAAAAAATAGCAGTAAGTGTATTAAGAAAGACATAGTTATATTTAAATAAATTTATTATATCTTACGCTGGCGATTTCCGGAATTGAAATATTTGGCATCATGGGTAGTAGTCCGCACATGGGGCAGCATTTCTCTGCCATCGAAGTGACACATCTCTTCGCAAACGCACTTTTCTGCTTTTGGGGCTTCATCTTGTTGCACTTAGGACAGAGTTTTCGACAGGACGCACATTTTCCGTTCTCTGGACAACTGAAACGATAGCTCTTAACTGGTTTTTCCATTAGGGTTTCGTTGGAGCAGATTGGAGGTCCTTTTCGAGAGCCACTCCGATTCTCCGTGCTGGGCTTACTGCAACTCGGACGCTGCACATACTCCGCGCTGTAGCTCTCCTGAAGCATATAATTTTCATCGTAGCTTGACCGATATTGCACTAGAGGATTTCTGTGGACCTCATTCCGGACCTGACTTCGCTCCATGTAATCCCCATCGGAATATCGATTGTAGTCCCTGTCATTGCAGGCGGTGTATCTTTTATTGCTGGCTCTTTTTGTGGAATTCGTTGACCTTGATCTGGGCGTGGGTTTTCTGGAAGTGGGTGGTGGTGCAGCACCGGGGCACTTTCGCTTTGGGGCAGGTGGAGGTGGAGGAGCAGTTCTATGAACGTGCGATTGGGCATGACAATGAACAGTGCAAGTTTGAGCTGCAGGTGTGGGTTTCTTCAGGCAACCACTTTTACTTGGCCGATTTGACGTCTGCACGCGCTGCCTTCCTGGCGAGGATCCAGGCAAATAGCAACAATCGGAATCCTTGTGCTGCTTCCGATTGGTCCTCTTCACCTGCTGCCTTCCTGGCGAAGTGTCCAACTCACAACTGCAAACCGAGCCTTTTCTCTGCAGCCGCTTACTTCTCTGAACTGGCTGCCTTTCGTGCAACGAGTCCGATCCACAGCTGCAATCGGACGTGTTTCTCTCCAACCGATTTGTCCGCTGGTATTGCGGGCTGTCCAGGATAGGATTCTTTTTGGGCGGTTGCTGGAATTCCCTGAACTCCATATAGTGCGAGGAGGGTGTTCGGTAGGCCCTTTTGCCTGGCAATGGGTCGCAGCCACAATCACTGCCACTGCTATCGTTGGGTTGAGATTGGGTCCTTTGATGTCCTTGCTGTGCATAACATGGCTGGATTGGACTGTTGTCATAGTAGCCCGTCTGGCACGGTGCGTGTCCTGTTCGCTGGTAATTTTGGCCATAATATTGACCTGTGTCCTGCTGTTGACTATTTTGACCCTGATACTTCCCGCGATATGGGCAGCTGGACACGCACTCTTCCTGATCCAGAATCTGACCACTCCTCACAACCAGTGGATTGCGCAGTAAATTGGAGTGCTGGTAGTACTCTCCATCCCCGCCAGAAACCCTATTACTCCTTTCGGGAACGAGGCTTAAGCCTACGAAATTCGATCCAAAAACAGTGAACGAAGGACTTTCATGGATTTCAGTGATCTTTTTCTGATCTGAAGATATCTTGTTGTCTTCAATGCTGGCATCACAAGTTTCGGTGCACGTGCTTCTTCCATTTGTAGGATTTTCTATGATCAGGATATGCTTACCATATTGATCGGGCAAGCCAAAAGGAGCATCCATCGACATTTTTTTTATGCTAGCAATCTGCGCTCAGTCAGTTTCCATTTGGATACATTCAATAAATTTAGACAAACAACATGTAAATATTTATTTTTACAATTAATAAGTTAGTTATATTCCGACATGTTTGACTTAAAACTCAGTGTAAAACAGTACATTTTTTATTTGAAGTGGGAAGAAAATCTCAGACCAAGGACAAATTATTGGGCACAGCCTTGTTCCCCAATTTATTATATTTTTTGGTGGAACAAAGCTGTGTCTTGGGATTCGTCGATGATTTGAAACTGGCTTCTCCAGGGTCAGTTAACAAAATAAGTCTGGGATGTCTTATATCTCAGTGCAGCTTCGGTTAGCTCCCGGTAAAGTCAGCAAGCGGCTATATGCCCTATTAAGAGCTCTGGCGGTTATCGGCAAGTCCTCCCACAGTCGCCAGCTTTGTTTCTCGTCGAGAGCGGAGTTTAGGGATCTCTGGCTTAGCATTTTTAACCCAAATTTGGTTGAGGAGCGGGAACGACCACGAGTTGGGTTACGTGTTCGGTTCGAACGACCTTGGGGCTTGGAATAATCGGGCTTGGGCCAGTGAAGGGGTCTTCTCATAGGCAGCTGCGATTGCATACTGGGGTAGGGAGTGTAAAGATTGCCCAGGCGGGGATTCAAGCGCTTCCGAGAACGTCTACGACGGCCAACCCTAAAATGTAAAAAAATTTATTTTTTGATCATTGCTACTTCAATAATTTGAAAGTGGAGTTGCTACAGAAGTCTCGATAAACTCTATGGAATTTGTACATCGGAATACCGAACTCAAAAAAAAGCTTTGAAAAACTCTTCTGAAATTTTAATTTCCAATCATCTCGAGATTTATGTTGCAACATTTTTTAATACTATTTATCTTAAACTATTATGCTTTCACTAACCTGGGATGCTCTGCTTGATAGGTATTGCAACAGCGATTGGCATACTCATCTTCCTCGTGAATTTCTTTGTTGTTAGCCAACTTCGGATCACTGCTGGGCGGCTCAACTTTCGGTTTTGATGGATTCCCGTCTTCGTCCTCCTCATCGGAGGTAACCACGAGGTACACAGAGTACTGCTTCTGGCCACCATTGACACCGGATCCTGCCGGTAAACGACTTTTAGGCTCCCTTACGTCCTTCTCACTTTCCCTGGACTCACACATGTGGGCCACCAGTTGCATGAGTGAATGCAACATGGGATTGCCCTCTAGTCCCTGGATCTTTTCATTTCTCAACAGCTCATTGATGTTTAATTTTCTTGATCCCCGACTAGTAGCTGAGGTGGCCGATACGACTTTCTGAGGGCCGCGTTTTAAAATGTCATCCAGAGGATCTGACTTAGTGTTTGTGGCTTTGTCGGTCAACGAGGTTCGACTCTGATATCGACTCTTTGACTGTTCGTGTTCTGTGGTCAGTGTTATGGTGCTGCTTTCGTTTCCGGAGTCCAGTTTTCCATCTTGACGATTGAGAAAGCGTTTTGAAGACGTCTTACCCTCTCTGTTGGATAGATCCAACTTTTCTGGGCTAGCACGGAGCTCCTTTGCAATATCCTCCCTGGTTTTTTCATAGGAGAAGCTCTTGGACATGCAGCTTTGAACTTGCTTCGAGGCTTGTGGTTTTATTTCTGAATTTGCTGCTGTGTACATGGAGGTTTCTGCATACGAGTCGCAACTACAGCCTTCTATAAAGTGGTTGGCCCATTTGCCGAAATTAAAGTTCTTGGATTGACCTAGTTGCTGCTGGGCCTCGCGATGTTGCTGCTGCTTCCTTAAGTCCTGTTGGTGTTGCAAAAGATGTTGCTGCTGTTGCTCTTTTTGGTGTTGCACCTTTTCGCGCTCCTTCTGACTCTGCAATGATTGGTGTTGTTTCAGAAGCTCATGTTGAAGCTGCAACTGCTGCAGTTTCTGTCGCTCTTTCTTCAGTATATTTTTTTTCATTTTCTTATTTGGTTTGGGTGGAATCTCGGGCTTGAGCTGTTGAACTGTAGGCTCTTGATACCTGGCAGCTGTGTTTTTGATCGTCACTCGCTTGGTTTTCGAGGGATTGGGGCTCTGCAGATCTCTGCCGAAGTGGTGGCCAGCTTCATATCTTGAAGAGCTTTTCAAAATACCAACAGGCACTGCTTTCTGTTGCTGTTGCATTAGAAATTGCTTGTGCTGCTGCTGCACTTGATGCTGTTGCTGTTGCCATTGCATGGGGCTCACTGTTGCGGGATAATCGAATAAATTCCCCTGATTAAAATGAGGATGTTGCTGGGGTGTCGTTGGTGCAATTCCCACTGCTGTTGCTGTTGCTGGTACATTTCGGAAACCCTGGTTTTGGCAGGCGGCTAAAATGGATCCTGGTCTTAGCAGAGCTGCCTTCGAAACCCCTTGACTTAGGCAGGATCTATTTCCTGCGGTGCGATAGACCTGTTGGAATTGCACTTGCGGATGTTGCTGTAGCCCATAGTTTGGAATGAAGCTCTGGATCGGAACTGCTTCCCTGGGCACTTTCATCAGCTGCCGACGCAGACGATTCAATTTCCGGCTGCTGACCTCCGGAGGAGCTATTACCGCCATTCGGGGCATTGCACCACCCAACTTGTTGCACACGGAATGCCAATATTCCGGCATCGAGGCAGCCACGGGATTTCGGGCATATTGCTGCTGATGTTGCTGCCACAGCTGCTGATAGGCGTTCAACGAAGCCTGCTTGGCCGAATTCGTCAACACCCTTTTCCGAACCATTATATAGTCTACGAATTAACTTTTATTTGGGAAGAGTTGCGTTCTCAAGCTGCTGACTCGGTAGTTTTCAGTTGATTTACTTTGCTGTTGGATGACTTTTTTTTCGGTTTATCTGGCGTTTGTGGGTTCATTGAAAATTTTGGATGCACTTGTGTGCCATATTTAATATGGCAAGAAACTTTGACGAGCAAATCAACGCCTGAATAGAGTTCACAATTCAAACCAACCACACTTTTTGCATGAAAAAATCATAAATTGTGTTTTAAGTTTTTAGGATTGCAATTTAATACCCAAACAAAGATATTTGTTTTTTATTTGACTTATATTTTATTTGACTTATATTTTTAAATTTGATCAGTAACAAATAAATATATTCCAAGATAATATGTTTATGTCCGAAGTTTAGAAACTAAATTTACTTGGGGCATAATTACCCAAGTAAAATTAATTTCTAAATTTCGTACATAAACATTTTCTTTTGAAACATATTTTTTTGTTCCTGATTAAATATGGTATTTTTTCTGAGTGTCTGAAAAACTTTTAGCTGACGTCAGTCGTCTCCTAGTGCGTAACTTCCGCTCTCACTCTCTCTCTCTCTCTCAACACTATTCCTATAACTCCCTTAACCGCGCATATCCCGTTTTAGTGGTGTAGTGGAATTCCCGGCTCCGTTTCATTCAGTTGGCTGCTGGTGGAGAGTTGAATCAATGACCAGCTGGAAGGATTTCATTCATGGAGCGGAGCACCTTCCAGGATGCCAATTAGTTTGGTGCGTATTCCAAGCTGCGCAGGAAGGAGAAAAACCGTTACAACAGCAGGCGCTGACTATGACTTCCCTTCTAACAACAAGGAAAACTCATTTGATTTCCCTGTTTCAAGAGAACACAATAAAACTTTCGGTTTGGAATTTTCCGTAATAATTTTTATTGAATTTATCAATTTTATACGAGCGAAAAATGGTGACCTTTGGCTGTGTGGCAAAACTTCTGAGCGGCTTCGAGTGCAGAGCAAATACTTGGGTCAAAGCCGTAAATCCCGGGTGGTACATGGCCCGTGCTTTTCCTAAGACCATTCTGATCGAGAAAGTGCGTCAGGTGGCTCAGGCTACCACCAGGGTGACTCGCCAGCGACCCCAAACCGCGGAGTCGCCAAAGAAGTTCAGCAACCCAAGGCGCCAACCATATTTCTAGGTGCCAAAAAGATATACATAGGTACCAACAAAAGGTTTTAATTGGTAAGCGTGTTTCCCAAATTATAAGCAAAACATTTTATTTGGAGTCCAAAAGTATGTCAAGTAATTGATGCCGATTTTCATTTCACATTTAAATGACAGAAAAAAGGCAACACATATTTTTGGGCACTCGTTCTATGTTGTCTAGTGCGCATCACTTATTATCGTTGCTGTAGGAAGTAATTGTCTTTGTACTTAAAGATCAGAATTAGCGTCAATGGTAATTTAAACGAATTAAAAACTAAGAATAAAACTTTGAAATTTTAACATTACAATTAAGTATGTATATGGCCATTAGAGCTAAGATAGGGAAATATTAATGGTTTTATTTTTAAAACCACTCTAAACGTATTTAACAAAATTTTACTCATTTTCAGATTCAGATTTTACCCCAATGCAGATTCAGAGTAAAAGTAAGTATTCCAGAAATTTAAATCCAAGATCAGTGTTGAATAACATCCGATTTCGCCCACAGAGTTGATATGCAACCGTAATCGATTTCGGCATTTTCTCTCCAGCGACGCATGGTCACACCGAGTCGGTGCCGAGTTTTTGTTTCGCGAGCAGGTGGTGTTGTCCAATCAGAATCGCCGTCGACGGCACTAAAAAAATTCCAATAGAATAGCCGAGGGCGATTATTTGTGTGTGTTAATGTTAATGTTAAATGCAAAATTACGCGTCGCTCGCTTCGCCCACGCGAATCCGATTGTTCAGTGCAAACAACCAAGTGAATATAATATGTAAGGCAGAGGCACGAAGCCAGCAGCAACAAAGCGCCAGTGATAAGCGCAATAATATAAATATAATATAGTATAAATTCAACGTGAAAAGAAATCTCGCCAGCCAAAGAAAAGCAAAAAGCAGAGGCAACAACTCGGCGACAAATGGAAATAAAGTAAAATGAAGGAGAGAGGAGGATAGAAATCGAAATGTGTAAGCGGGACCAGATCGTATGAAAAAAAAACAAAGAAAAACGTCGGAGCGAAGATTAAATAAATTTACAAGTGTGTTTTGTATTTGACCAGCTTTTGTGATTGTTCTTGTTGTTGCGGAGGCTGAAAGAAAAGCGGAATAACAACAACAGCGCTTTTACATACGCGTGTGTGTGTGTGTGTGCGTGTGTTTGGTGAGCAACTATTTCCAGTGATGAGCGCGTGACACATGCCGTCGTGCCATTATACATCAGTATGAAGTGTTAAAATGCCATCGTGACACACGCAGACATCTCTAATGGCCACTGAGATGCGGAAGCTAAAAAACATTCATGAATGGCAATTATGTACCGTGCGCTGGGGCAAGATTTACCTTCGATTCGAAGTGTAGAAAAAAAAACAAAACTGCGCGTACGATTTTCCACTTTGGAAGTCGTGACGTTTTCCCATGCATAACGGTGTAAGTGTGTGGGGGCTCTCTTCTCGCTCTTTCGCTCGCTCGATGGTGTGTGTGCCTGCGTACGTCATGGCAACTCCGGTAAAACGCAAATAAGGGGCAGCGAAAAGCCAATTGCCGTTGAGTGGTCTAATTGGACACCTTGCGCATTACTTGCTTATACTATTTACCATTTGGCGACCCGTTATCAATTGCAGGTGCTTTCTCCTGTAAACACTAGTGTGAGAGTTTAGGTGTGTGCGTGCGACCTCGACAAGTTTTTTTTTGTCCTCCACACATATGCAATTACACGGAAAGAATATGTTTCTTGATACATTTTTTTTTTAATTTTTGTATATATTTCAACTCGACTTAAACGTTTCAGATCGCTATCTTTCAAATATATTTCTTTAATTTATTTCTCTAAAACATAAGTACTATGCTCTAAACTTGAAATTATTAATTTAAAACAAAATTACATATGTATGTACATATGTATCTTAATAGTTCAGAAACTATTATATTTGTAAACTTCAAATTAGGTTGAGAGTTTTTTTTTAGACTTCGTTGATCTATTTCGACCATTAAAATGACACACTGTCTTCCCTATAGCCTATAGACTTAATATTGATGTAAATTATAAACTTTAACTTTTGGTCTTCATCAAGCTGTTTCTTATCTGTGTTCTTTAAAGTTGAATCCAATAATATTTGATTTAGTTTGCTTCTTCAATAAGTTATAGTTCCCAAATGTTTTTGACTTTTGTGTATGTGCGTGAATTGTAGATTTTGTACTTTTTTCAATAGTTTTCCTGTGAAATTCCTTGACTCCTTACAACCCCAAACACCTACACAAACTGTTGCTGCGCCCCCGCTCACACACATGCAAATTCTGATGGTGCCTTCTCCTTCTACCCTTTGGAAATCGATGGGGAGCTGACGACGGTCTCTCGCATGTTTGCTTTGCTCTATCTCCCTCTTCCTCCCCACACACCTTCCACTCCCACTCGCCCCCTATCTTTCCGTCTGCTTTTCTGTCTGGCTTTGGCTGCTGTGTAAGTCCAAGTTCTCTAGCCCCTGTTGTTGTTTCTGCTTTCGGGTTTCGCCTTCCCTCATTCGCTTTCGGCTTGTTGCCTCATTTATTTTACTTGTCGTTTCTTCTCGACCTTTCGCTTGCTGTTGTTTTTATGTTTTTTAATCATTTTCGCCTCTCTGATTTGGTAAAAAAAGAGCCAAACAACTGGGATCGCTACAGCTAGTTATCAGCAGAATTGGCCAGATACGTAGTGTTGGTGCAGAGCAGACCCGAAATATTCCCGTTCTAAATGGACTTTAATGTAATGCGATTAAATGACATATGCTACCAAGATTATTTCGTCAAAAAATATAATTTAAATGCTTTGTTTTAAACATTATACTACTTGAGTCTGTCCAAAAATTTTAAGAAGTTGTGACTAATAAAAAATATTAATAAACAGAATTTATAATATCGCCTTGGGATTCTGTTTTATTGTGTACCATATTTTAAAAGTAAATTTTAATGATTTATGATTTATTTTGTTGTACACTTAGAAGTTATTAATCCTTATAAAATGATGATATTTTTGCTCCTCTCTTCGACTTTAAATTTTAAACAAATCAAATAGAAATTACCCTCGATTTTGTGTGGGAGTGAAAATATTTAATTCAAAAAATGAACGTTTGCGCAAAAGTCCCAAGTTCAACTCACTTTGGTAATTTTTTTCGAACATATTCAGGCTACCAACATTTTTTTCTGAGTGATTGGCTGGTGATTCAGATTTTATTGTTTTGGGTAAATATAATTAATCAAAACTTTTGGATATTCATACATTAATATTTTATTATGTAGGTTTTTTCAAATAGCTTAATTTTAAATGTGCTTGCTGTGAGATAATTTTTTTTACTTGAATAGTAGGTAATTTATATTCTTACACATTAAGGGCACATGATAGTAAGACTAAACTAGGAAGTTCATAGCAAAAAACGACTGAACACAACTGACCTGACAAACCATGATGTTAAAAATATTTATTGTAATTGCTAATTCACAAAACAAATTTTTTTCATTAAATATGCATTAATTTACTATAAACATTTATTAAGGAAAATTTTACATATTTAGGTTAACATAAATTTTATACATATTATTGAATTTAGCAAAATTTAAATGATCGAAAGAGAGAGTTTAGAGTGTAAGAGGAAATTTTTAGCGGAAGCAGCACCTTTGACCTGGTGACGTCTTTCGCATCCCCACCTCACCATCTCTCTCGCTCACTCCGTGCCGCTTGCTCTCTCTCTGCGCTGGAAGTGTGCTGCTGGCTGGAAGCGAGGCCGCAGCCTCTCCGGCTTCAGTTTCGCCGAAAAACTTCCAAGTTGGAAGTTCATTCAGCTTTGACTTTTGACTCCGTGCGCTTCGTTCTCCGGTGTTTTCGGTCTCCGGTAGTTGCCACCCACTTGCTAACTCTCCATTCCCCGAAATCTACAACTGTTTTGTATCTTTCCCATGATTAATGCAAATAAACAAAGGAAAGCGTATCGAAAACTTTTAAGAAATGTTAGAAAATGTGGGGGAGCGGGAGGGCGATGTCCAGCTGCCAGTGCTCTTTTCACACCCGCGAAATATCACGAGAAAGTTGGCGGAAAACAATTTGTTTAGATTATGTGAACGCGAGTGTTGGGTTAATGTTTGATCACCGTCGTCGCCGCCTGCTTCCTCTTCCTTGCACACACTCTGCTCTAAATTGATTTCAATGAGCTTTTTTGACGATTCTCTGGCCCCCGTGCTCCCCTGTGCTATCCCTCTCCCTGTCTGTTTCTCCCCTCTCTTTCGCTGGGCGATTATGTGCGAATGTGGCTGTGCAAGTGCCCGGTTTTCATACGACCTTGATGCTGTACATTAACCCATTGAGAGCCCCTCTATCACTCTATCTCTCTTGGTCCCTCTTCGCTAGGCGATCGGCTTACGAAAAAAAACCAGACATGGGCCCTGTTTTCTTCTTCTTTGTGGTACCTCTGTCGGTTCTTTTACTTTTAATTTACACTGGGCGGCAAAAGTAAGCTTGAAGGAAGCGCCACTTGAAAAATGACGGGACAATTCCTTAATAATAATAATATAATTAAGTTATTAAAATTATCTTTACAGTAACAGCAAATATCAGAAAATGTCATCTATATCTGTTGAAAAATAGATAAAAAATGAAATATTATAAAACTGTCAATTCAACGTGCATGGCAGGAAAAATATTTCATGTGCCTTTTGTTTTCTTTGAGATTTCTGCGCGAGTAGATAACACTGGCTTGTGTTTTTTATTTATTTATTTTTTTTTTTGCTATCTTTGGTGTTTGTTTTGCTCATTAGCCCACACGCACACACGTGCCACGCCCACCCGCGATAAAGAAAACAAAAACCAAGGTCAAAAACTACTCAAAGTGAAATACTTATTTAATAATTTTCTTTTTCCCCAAGGCGGTGACAAAAGTGCAATATCGAAATGTGAAAAGTAATTTGCGTTAAACAAAGACCCATAAAATTGAGACTTGAAGGCGTCGTAAAAAAAACCGACAAAGAATAAAAAGTTCGAGGAAGTGCTGTTTAAATAAATAAAAATAATATAAAGTGAGAATTGGAGTTGCCAGGTGGGCATGGCCCACTGCCCGCCGAGAAACCGCTGGAACGTCCGAACGAGAAGCTGCCATTGACCTCTTAATCGAATTAAGTGAATATTTTAGAATCCACAAGCTACGCATCTCGCTGTTGCTGGCGGCGGCTCTCCGTTCTCCAATCTCCCGCATCCCGCCTCCAATTTTCGATTCTCCGTTTCTCCATTCTCCGGTTTGTTAGTCTCGCCGCCAGCAAATGAGCTCGCGCTCGAACTCCGCGACAAAAGAAAATGCATTTTAAGTGAATTTCCTGTGCGCATAAGGCAACTACGCAGCTGATACCCACTCTAAAACCACGTGCCAGCCCGATCCCCTCCGGAGCAGAGCAAGGCCTCTGCGATGGCCACCACACCAACGGCTGGACCAGCAGCTTCGACCTCAACGCCACAGAACTACAAGGTGCCATCGACCAGCAAGATATCCGTGGACAAGCTACTGCGGGTCGGCTACTATGAGCTGGAGAAGACCATCGGCAAGGGTAATTTTGCCGTGGTCAAGTTGGCCACGAACATCGTGACCAAGACAAAGGTGAGTTCCCAATCCAATCCCTTCAATATGTCCCGATTCCCTCAATTAACAAGTCGAAAACTAGGTATTTGTTTTTGACTAATCGAGTGTTTGTCTTGGCAATTGGCAGCGTTTATATAGTAAATGCATAATTAAAAATGCAAGAACAATAAATGTATAAAAAAATGTTTAAAATTGCATCTAAAATGTTGGGTAACGTTTATATTTCTGACTCTCTCTAAATCTTTCGTAATTTAATTATTACTTGTTCTTAAACTCTTTCAATGGATGATATAGCATACAAAAGATGAAAACGCTAAAATACCTATTAAACATATATGGGAATACTCATACTTATGTATGTACATATGTACAAATGCAAGTACAACCAATATGAAAATAAAACATGGATAAAGATAAAACTGGACTGTTAAGCAGGAAATTCAGCATCAAAATTATATAATTTTCGATGTACTCTCATCTGCCGCCTTTCGAAATTATTTAATTGTAGTTTTCAGTATTGAAAGTCACATGTAAATTGGATGTTTTTCAACTAACCAGAAGTCACATGTAAATTGGATGTTTTTCAACTAACCAGTTCATGCTTCTCGACGATTTTTTGCGCATTTAAATTGATTAAATTAATTTTAGTTGTTGTTCTTTGATGATTTTGTTTATTGCCGCGTAAATACATATGTGTACAATAATTATTTACACAAGTTATTGACAATCAGATGATTCGATTCGATTTCGGCATCTCAGTCTTTCTGTTTCGGCTTCGGTTGCTTGGCTTTTTATTTGCTTTCAATTGACAATGTCCGGGGAAGGGAGAAGTGTGATCTGGAGGTGGCAATCGACAGATGCTAATCGAATCGCATTTGTAAGGCGCTTTAAAAGTGTGAGTTTCTGCCATCTTTCTCATTGATTACATTACTCCCGTGTGTGTGTGTGTGTGTGTGTGTGTGTATGTGAACCTTTTGAGGAAGTAATTTAATTTTGCTTATTGTTTTTTGATGACATTTGCATATACGAAACTTTTTCTGTTGTTTTTTTTTCCCTTTAAAAATTTCCTGCTATAAACCCAAGTTGATGAGCTGGGTAAATCACAATTAAATGCCTTTTTTCCTGGCCAATATACTATAGACGTTACTTAGAGCGTTCAAAAGATTGACTCACCTGCATCCTTATATCTTTCTTCTATCGGTATTTGTGAGTGGGAACGTCAGATGAAGTGCTAATACAACCGCAACAGCTGTGACACTTGATAATTGGGATTGTCAAGAGAAATACTCACTCATGGCAGCCACAATAACAGCAATAAAAACATATTTTTAATCATTTAACGTAACAGAGCGAGGGAGGAACAAATAAAAAAGGATTAAAAAGGGGAGAAGGGGAAAAGCTGGCTGAGGAGAATGCAAATTTTTAGATCAAACAAATGAATTTTTGCATAATTGACAACGTTGAGGAATCTGTGAACAGCACGTGACTCGGTCAAATTCGATTTTATTATTTATCGCCGGATATGTCATGATTGAAAAGGTTCATCCAAAAATTAAATGTTGAGAAAATTGTTTTTTGTTAAATACCATATCAAAAAAATGCTCAAATCACAAAAAAATGTAAAATTGTTTTTTTTTTATTTTTAAATTCTTTCTGTAATAATTAATTTTTTAAATTAAAAATTAATATTCTTAGCGCATTAAGGGGTTTTTTTTCATTGTTATTAAATTTATCTTTCTGATATTCACTGTATATTTTTCATTCAAACTAACAGCATTTCTTGTTGTTCTTGTGTTAAATCTTTAAAAATTAAAAAAAAATTAATAAAAAGAAAAAAGGGATTTAAAATAAAAGTTCGAAATCTATAATCATGTTTAAAAAAAATGTGTGCAAAACTTTGCAATGAAATTTCCTTACATGAATGCTTACACCCTCCAAGTATACTGAAAAAACTCCATCTAGACTCGCAAGCCTTTGTATTTTTATCATGTTTTAGAAATTGCTCTACCATTTTTGTCGCGTGTGAAATTCATGTATTCATTAGCTAAGTTGTTTTAACATTGATAGAAATGATTATGAGCTATCCTAAACAAAAATTAAAAAATAAAAAAATCCTACTTTTTCATACATATTTTGAATATTAAAGTGGTTAGGATGTCGCGTCCGAAGCCCTAGAATGGCCCAGTTGTTACATATTCCAAACGACTTACAAGACTTATAAGGTTGCTAAAATATTTTTGATAGACAAATAATGTTTCTGATAATGTGTTTAAAATATATGCACTGTAAAAAATTGGAGCATTTCAAGGCAGATAAGCAAATCAGATCAGCTTCTGTCGTTTAGACGAATTGTTTGTTGACTGTTACGAAATTAAGTTTACCTCGATAAGAACACAGCTGTTCGACAACTTCAAGGTCCAACGGTGCATACTTATCTTATTTTTGCATTGCCCATCCAATGTATGAGTATGTACATTGAACTCACTCTATATATAATGTATATATTTGTTGGTACAACATGAGTATGTTTTGGATCTATATACATATGTAGCCTTAGAGCCCGTGGCTTATCTCTCTTAAGCACATTTGCCAATAATTCACTATTATCAATGGAGAGTGGCAAAAGTTCACTTGTACACATACAAATAGGTACATACATAGCAAACACACGCGCGTAGGTAAAAAACTTAAAATTTGATTATTTGTATAAACCTAGGAACGGCAGAACAATCGATAAGAAAAGTGCGGTATGTACTTCTTTTAACAAAATATCATAAATCCGAACCATAACCTATTCTATTAGGCCCAAATAACATTAATTGCTTGCTTTCATTGTTTGAAGTTCTACGCTCTCTGATCGCTTTCACGTGTCGCTTTTAGTTTCCATTTTTTGTGTGGAATGTGTTTGCACTCAATTGGCAAGTTTCTGTTTAATTGAATTTTTTCGCAGTTGCCTTGGCAACTGTTTTAATGCTCCAATTGATGCAATTAAGCACTATCCATGCAGCGTTGCCACTTGATGTTTGTCTCGTGTTTGCCACACAAAAAAAAATATTTATTTGCGTTTTTAAATTTATTTGATATTAAAAAAATTGGAAAGTAAGATAATAATCAAATAATATTAAGCAAATGTGTTTACATAAATAGTGTTGTATGCTATTTTTTAATCCTTTCCCTATGAAAAGATACTTTTAAAAGAAACTTATATTAAATAATTAAAACAATAATAGTAGATAAAAACTGTAAGAAACTGATTTTTACCTCATTTAGTTTTAATACATCTGATAACTTATTTTATTAAAATATAATTTTGTTAATAAATGTTCCTTTCTTTATTTTTGTGGAACACTGTAAATATTTTACTAAATTATAAGAATGTGACACGGAATGCTACGGTGTATTTAATATCCTTTCCTGCTATGTTTCTCTCCGTGTAGCCCTATTCTCTTCCCGTCTCTTTCTGGGCCATTCTGCCCGTCTTGTTCGCATTTGTTGATTGATCTTTCGCTATGGGCAAATATTTAAGCTGCCGTCTGAGCGTTGCCTCTTGGCCAGCAGACCGAAAACATGTTTGAACATCTAACACGCGTCAGACCGAATCGAACGGGTGGAAGCAGGACGGAGAGAGTGGGCGAGCGAGATGGGTGGATGAAATCGTTTAACAATTTTTATTTACCTTTTCATTAACAATTTCGCGTCTTTTTGCAGCTCGCTTTTTGTTGTCTGCGGTTTTTATAATTTTCGTGTGTGTTTACAAAACCCAAAAAATCATGCGCACTAAATCTAAGGTCGTCGTTTTTCTTTTCCTTACTATTTCCCGTTCTTATTTGTCTGGCTGCGATAGTAATAAAAGTATGTCTTTCTGCAGCAGCAAACAGACCCATACATTGGCATACCAGTGATAACCGAAAATGTTATCAAGTGGTGATGTTTCTTCTGCTGATTCTTTCTTGGCGATTTTTTGTCCCCATCCGCAAGAAAAGTAAATTCGCAAATCAGTCACGTGCGTTCGCCCACTCTTTCGTACACCCACTCCCACAGCAGAGAGGGAGGGTGTGTGGGTGTTGGAGGGAGGGGGAGGGAGGTAGACAGACGACGAACAGCACGCGCCAAGTTAATGCTCCCTGCATGATTCTCTCCTCACACTCACAGGGTTTTTTCGATTGTTTTGTTTTTGATTTGACTTTGCAAGCGATAGCAAAACAAATAATAAATCAGCATAAACTCAAGTGTTTCCTCCTTAAACAGTCAAAACTTCCATACCTCGAACTGTTGTAACTCGAATTATCTTAACTTAAAGTTAAATAGGAGTCAGTGTAAAACTCCTCAATTTTCCAACGTCATTTAATTTTTATCGTTAGTAAACAATTTAAAATTTTTAAAGTAAAAAATAAATAAATTAAGACACAGAAATATCTGAGAATGAAAATTATAGTTGAAAATTTAAAACTAACATTATATAAACAGAAATTTCTGAGAATCAATATTTTACTTGAAAATTAATTTGATATCTTCAAGTGTATTTTGTTTGATGAAGAGCGCGAAATACAACTTTAAAATGTGATTGTTTGTTTCTTTAAGTTTTATAATATTTTATATATATCTAAAAAAATATATTAGATATTTATTATTATTTATAATAAATAGAAACTATTACATAGAAACTAAACTATTGATACATGAATTTTAAACTATTAGGTATCAAAATTTTTCAGTAAGATGAGAATGAAATTAACACCACGAAAGTATCAAAATAAAAATTATGTGGTTTAAAAATAAGGACTTAAACTACAGTTTCACACTCTATAGAAATTAAATTAAAAATTATTTAGTTTTTAATCATTAATTATAATTAAATAATGTCTGTAGTTTATCAACCCGCACTTATAAAAACTAAATTAAATTCTTTCAAATTAAAAAAATCTTGTGAACGGTTTAAGCTTCTTTTTTTAAGTATACATTAAATTAAAGAAGGCCCACTGTATTTCCCTAAACAAATTTTCGGTAGCCCATTTAAACTTGATTAGCGCGCCAAACTTCTGATCGACACTTGAGGTTGTCACATGGATTTTCCGCACCGAATGTACTGATTAGAGATAAGTTAACCACGAAGGAGGTCTTAACTCCCACTCTGTTTGCCCCATTTCCATGGGCAATTAAGTAGGCCATGACATGGAAACTGTAATTGTAGTAATCAACCAGGCAAGCCGAATAAAGTTTACTGACCCCGCGCATAGGAGAAGAAGAATAGGTGGTGCAGCAGCCACGATAGTAAAGAGAGAGCGAGGGAAAGGTGAAAGCGAAGGAGGTCGCATATCGATTAAACACTCGGAAAGAGGAGGTGGGTGGGTGCGCTGGCAACACGTTTGATTACCGCGTGTAAATAACAACAACACGAACACTGCAAAAGTGGCAAGGACTCGTACGTTGTACGTTGTGCAACAATCACATTTTACAGAAGCCCCATGGAAAACCCAAAAGTCGATGAACAAAAGTCACCGGCTCCAAAAGGCCAGGCACCCGAGAAACCCATTCGAAAGCGGCCTCAAGTCAAAATCCAAGCCAGAACTCCAAAACCAACACCCACCGCCATAATCTGTGAATTGACTCGTTTGAAAGCGCAGCAAAAATATCTTGAGTGCCATCAGGTTAAGTTAATCCCTAATAATTTTACACTCCATGATGACGAGGATGCACTGGACTCCGATCCAAAATCAGGCGATGAAAGAATTGCTTTGGAAACCCCAGAAACTACTCGAAATCCACGTCCGCCTAGCTCTTCCACTGCTGAATTAATTAGTCTGATCAACGAAATAGAGCAGGAGAAAGAAGAACTTAACGAAAAGTTGCAGCAATATCGCACCGCCAAGCGTGGGGAACTCAAGGACATGTGGCACTTTGTGGCCACCATAAAGGAGGACGTCTTCCGTCCAGAGCGTCTCAGCCAGTATACAGTAAATGCTTTGAGGGAGAAAATCGTTGGTGTAAATGCCCAACTATATCGTTTGACTGCCCAGAACTCAAAAGAACTTGAAGATTTGAAGGTGGAGTACGAGAAATTGGAGCGAGAGAACAAACTTTTATGGAAAGGTAGCATGTAGATTAAAAGATATCAACTATTTTACACCGTTTGCAGCAATACTTGTGAAATACATTTTTGAAAACAAGAATCAGTACCAATAAGCCGCATAATTATAAGTTTATAAAAAAAGGAATCAACATAAGTATTGATTATGATTAATTGTAGACCTTTTAAATGTTTATGGTACTTTTGAATAAAAAATAAACAAATTATCAAACAACAGTGTTCACTGTACAACTTTCTTGCTGCATTAATTTGCATTGCCTAGAAAATAAAATTTTTCATTATACATAGCAAAAAAAAAACATGGATAATTTTTAATTCTCAAATATTTTAAGAAAATCATTTTAATGCAATTCAAATGGAACCAAAAGCAGAAACCACTTTTAAAAATAAAATTTATACAAAGTCACACAATCTGCAAGCAGCTTTAATTACGTATAATCCATTAATTTCAAGAAAGTATTTCAAAAAAAATCGTTTTCCACCACAAAGCATTACGATTGCTATGAATTCCGATTTGCAAATATTTTTTGAAATTCTTGACATTGTTTCAGGTGTCTTATTTAATGAACGACACTCGTAATCAACAACATTTTAGACCTTGCCTTGGGCTTGCCTTTTAAATCAATAGGACCTTTTGATACGATTTTCTTTTGCCTTCGGCTGAAGGATTCCTTAAAGAAGGCGACACTGGTATTTTTTGCTATGACTGTTATAGTTGTTGTTATTTCTGGCTGCGATTATTTTGAAATGTCTCATTTGCGAGCAGGGCTTGAGGTTCATCGCATTCGCCGGCGACCAAAAGGAAAGGTCAAATGGCACGTGGCAATGGCATTTCTCTTTTTTTTCCCCCCTTTTATTTTGCCTTTTATTCCGTTGTTAGCTGAAGTTCACACTGCTCACGTGGCATTGGCGATTTCTAGAGCGTAATATCAGTGCAGAATCAGCTTTTGTTTCATGCAATTATGTAAAAATGTCAAACTCATCTCGCTACCGTGTACTATCTGTTTCGCTTAACAGAAATTACGCATACGCCGCATTGCACTGCACATTTTTGTCTTTATTATAAACAAATAGTTTGCATTGCACACTGGCCTCAAGTTCAAAGTCTCTCACAGTTGTGTTAATATAAATGTGATTATTTTTTATTTTTGCAAGGTATATGATTAAAAATGCAATGTCTTGTTTATATTGATTTAAAAACAAAAATATATATATATTGTTAAAAAAAAATCTTTAATTACTCAGGAAACAGAACGAATTTGTTGTTGAGCAAACAATAACAAATATGCCCAAAGAAACCGGTGGTGATGATGCTGATTTTTCTTAGTGTGGGTGAGCGAGAGAACAAGAGCTGAAGAGTGAGAGACAGGGCGACTGAGTGAGTGTACGCTTACTTGTGTTGTTAATTATTTAACATTGTGTTAAATTTTTTAAATGTTTTGCGAATACACAAAACAAAATAAACAGCCAGCGACGGCAATGTCGTCGGCGGCAAACGAAAGTCGTGAGCAAAGAATGTTTTTGTCTTGCCGCCCCTGACCGCCGCCGCCCCCGCACCGCCGGTCCGCTCCCCTTCCGTACCGAAATCATCATCTCTCCGTATCGCATATTCACATATCGGTAGTGATCCCGAGATCCGAACACGCGCACCTTGTATGGCGCTGTCATCGTGTGTTGCTGCTGTTGGTATTGCTGCCGTTGATGTTGCTGCTGTTGGTGCTGCTGCTATCGACGGTGCTGCTGCAGAATGTGCGCCACCAATCCACCCACCTAGAGGCCCTGGCAACAGCTACGCTTACAGTGACTTATATTAATACAACCAATTCTTAAATTATCAATATATGAACATTGATTACCTACTGGCATAATCATGTTGACATGACATAAAGGACTTTTACTTGCATACCAAACTAACAACCTTTTAAGGTACCTTGTCATTGTTTTAATAAATAAAAGATTAAACATAATAACCAACTATAAAAATGATGTGTCCGAATTTCTATCCCTCAAACCACATTGTTTAATAGTTTATAAGTTTTAGTTCTAGGGCCATAGTTTAATTCAGTTGACTTACAAATTTATATATATATATATAAATAAATTAAACTTATATATATTTATTTATTTTCCCAACTTTCCCAAAAGTTGTCTTCCTGTTGCAGATAGTACATAAGCTTTGCTGTATTTTAATTTTCTTTAGTTCTTCGAGATGGAGTAATGATGTAGATCCTCTATTTTTGAATTTTTTTAAAAAAGTCTTTTGGAAACATTTGTTATTTGATAGTTCAGATTTACGAATTTAATTTAATTCAAATCAGAAAACCATCATGGATTCACCATTTTGAAACATATACGCATATAAATCGAAATTAAGTGTTTTCAAAAATAATTAATTTTTGCAATAGTTGCAAGGGTATATAAACTTCGGCTTTCCGAAGTTTACTTCCTTTCTTGTTTTAGTTTGTTTGAAAAAATATAAATCTATGAGTGCTTCCAAATTGAAATGACTGTAGCCATGGGCAATTGTAGGTGTCATGGAACTAAGGGAAATCATACTCACCAAGTTTAACTAATTTTTGGTCTAAAAACCAAACTGTGAAATATTAAGGATAGCATTCGCATTTGTGATAGATTAGCAAATTAATTTTGTATTAACTTGCGTAATTCTCATGGATCAATACTTACCAGGGTCAGCAAGCAAATTAATTCCTTCTACATTCAATTTTTGCTGACGTATTTCAAGTATTATATAAAACACACATAATGACTTAACTTGCTAGTAAATGGTTTTGCATTATTAAACTTTTTTCTGTTTTTTTTTTTTAAATCATTAAAATAAATAAGGATTTATATGCTAACGTCTATTACTACAATTGTTTATAATAATTTCACTACATTCAGCAGCTTATACTCAAAAATAAATTTTTTTTTATATCCAATACTTGCTTTTGTGCCACTGTATTCTTAGCGAAGCGAGACACGTTTTTTTGGCCAGCCCACACGGTTTGAATTTCGGGGATCTCTCAGTCTCCCCCACATTATAAAATCTCATTTTTCGCCCTCTTCTCGCTCTACTGACAATGTTCGTTCGTTCACCTGCGGCGGCCAAACAAACCAGGGGAACGACAAACAATCCGGCGGAGAATGACATTTTGGTTTCCAGACTAAATGTGTTTCCCTATTTGCTCTCGTGTTCTTTTGCAGGTGGCCATCAAGATAATAGACAAAACATGTCTGAACGAGGAGTACCTGAGCAAGACGTTCCGCGAGATCTCCATACTGAAATCGTTGCGGCATCCGCACATCACCCGACTCTACGAGGTGATGGAGTCGCAGTCGATGATCTACCTGGTGACCGAGTATGCCCCAAACGGTGAGATCTTCGACCACCTGGTGGCCAACGGCAGGATGAAGGAGCCGGAGGCGGCACGTGTCTTCACCCAACTCGTCTCGGCCGTCCACTACTGCCACTTGCGGGGGGTGGTGCACCGCGATCTCAAGGCCGAGAATGTCCTGCTCGACAAGGACATGAACATCAAGGTGAGCGCGAGTCAGCTTCTCATCACTGTGAGATGCGTCAAAAATAAGATACGGCCCATATAGCTTTAGAAATACAATGATATTATTATTAGAAACATTAGATAGTTTTACATTTTCTATTTATTGATGGATTTTAAAACAATTGTAAAGCAAGCATTATAATTTAATTATTTTCAAAGCAGTATATCACTATGGACGACAGTACATGTAGTGACGATGATCACCAGTAAGCGTATGCAAGGAGACTACTATATATAGACGCAATAGCTAAGAACAGTCCGATCTTAAAAAATGTTCTATATCATTTTCATCAAATGGTCTCGCTTTTATAAGAGTTTTTGGTGCAAAAGTGCAAAAGAAATTTTGTCTTTTACTAGAGCTATAGGAACCGATGGAGCAAACAAGTCTTTGAAATGGTTAAAATACCAAAATCAACTTTGTTACTTAACCATTTCAAAGTAACCATTAACAAAACAAATTTAATAAAAAAAAAGTGTTTTTTTTTTGGTAAAATAAAAAATAGTCGTCACAAAATGTGATATCAAAATCTCTTACAAATTTAGTTGTACTTCAATTTTTGAGATCATAAATATATTCTAAATATTCTAAAAAAAATATATTTCACTCTTGCAGCTCGCAGACTTTGGCTTTAGTAATCACTACGAGGAAGGTGCCACTCTAAGGACCTGGTGTGGATCCCCGCCCTATGCTGCCCCAGAAGTTTTCCAGGGATTGGAGTACGACGGACCCAAGTCGGATATCTGGAGCTTGGGCGTCGTTCTGTACGCCTTGGTCTGCGGAGCATTGCCCTTCGATGGAAAAACAATTCTGGAGCTGAAAAGTCGCGTGGTGTTGGGCAAATTCCGCATTCCCTTCTTCATGTCGCAAGGTGAGTTAACAATCGAAAGACTATATTGATTTGTGGAACGACGAACTGTAGCATTGAAATCTACGATAGTTGGTCTATCCATTGAAAACTCTTTAATCACCTAAAATCGTTTAGTAGACTAATTTGTTTAACTTTTGTCTTTCAGAATGCGAGCAGCTTATCCGCAATATGTTGGTGGTGGAGCCTGACCGGCGGTACACTATCAAACAGATCATCAAGCACCGCTGGCTCAGCGAGTGGCAGTCGGAGATGCAGGAGGAGGAGCGCTTCGAGGCCCTGTCCTTTGTCTCTGGTTCGGGAACGGTGTCCAAGTCGGCATCGACATCCTCGCTGGGCAGTGTGGCGGACTCACCGCCGCAGCTGGACTCGGTGGTGATGACACACATGCTCCAGCTGCCCGGCCTGACCGCCGACATGATCGCTCAGTCGGTGCACGAGCAGAGATTCGACAACATCTACGCCATTTACAATCTGCTGCAGGACAAGCTGCAGCAGAGGCGGCGCGAAAACCAAAGACTGCAGCACCACGCCAGCCTGGCCTACTCTCGATCCCGCAAGACGAGCATTACGACGGGCGTGGTGGATCGCTCGGAGCCCGTAAAGCAGGAATCTCTGGACCGGCTTAGCCCGCTAAGCAATGCCAATGCCTCCAGTTCGGCTTTGGGCTTTGGCTGGTCCGATGTCGCCGTGGATCTGGAGAAGTTTGGTGACTTTGAGCTCGAATGTCTGGCACGAGCCAATGAGGTAGGAGATAGTCAAGCTGTGAATAACCGATAAACTCTCTTTCTCTCTCTTTTAAATTATTTATTTTAATGACTTACAATTCATTTTATGAACTGACCACCTTTTACCTTCTTCCCTTTTCAGCCTCCGGTTAATCCGCAGCACTTGAGCGCCCAGGCTGGCGGAGGCGTCAACGGGGCGAATACGCGACGCCATACAGTGGGACCCGGAGATGTGGCCCACGAGCAGGCGCTGGCCAATCCCCATGTACCGCCCATCGACTTTAAGTGTCCGCCGCAATGCAGCGATCCCACACAGCCGGTACCGTACTATCCGGTTAACCTGCCCATGTTGCAGAATCAGCCGCTGCAAAATCTCACCATCAAGGATCAGCACCTGCTCAAGCCGCCCGTAGTTATGGGAGCCAGTAAGCATTGATTGTTGCTCAAAGAAACATGTTGTCTACTGTAAACTTTTCCATTCGTTTAACTAGGTTCATTTGGACGACGTGCTTCAGATGGCGGAGCGAATCTTCACATCTTTTATCCCGCCACTTGCTCCGTTGTGGGTCCAGCTCAGGGTCAGCAAATGGAGACGGCCGGATACTACATCAACCCGAATTGTGGCACAGATCCTTTGGCCGTGCAGGAGTTGTCGCCGCTCAACGAACAGGCAGGGACTCAGATGCAGTGCTGCCAGGAGAATGCCACCGGCGAGTGCAACGAGGAGCTGCAGAGGTTGACTTGGATCTCACATTCTATTTGAGGCGAAATAATAATGTTTTCCTTTGTAGCTATATGCTGAAGCGTGGAGGAACCCAGCGACATACGGTGGGCTGCACGGAGGATCTCTCCGTGACACATGGCCCGGGACCAGGATCACAGTCCCAGGTCCCAACTACCTCCTCCAACATGCGGCAAAGGAGAACGGGTCTGCTCACGGTCACCGAAAGACCGCCAGGTGCGTTTAGTTAGCTGCATACCAAATTGATTGGGGAACCA